TTTTTTGAGACGGAGTCTTGCTCTGTCGTCCAGGCTGGAGTGCAGTGGCACGATCTCGGCTCACTGCAAACTCCGCCTCCCAGGCCCACGCCATTCTCCTGGCTCAGCCTCCCGAGTAGCTGGGACCACAGGCGCCCGCCACCGCACCTGGCTAATTTTTTGTATTTTTAGTGGAGATGGGGTTTCACTGTGTTAGCTACGATGGTCTCGATCTCCTGATGTTGTGATCTGCTCACCTCGGCCTCCCAAAGTGCTGGGATTACAGGCGTGAGCCACCGCACCCGGCCAACCATGTAGGTTTTCTACTCCGGGAGTGCAGATCTGTGATTGCGGTATCCTGAGTAGAGCTGATAACATTTCCAGAAGTAGGGAATAATGGAGAGAGAGAAAAATATCTTAATGTGATGGGACCATTTGAGGAGAGTAGGCTTTATTTATTTTTTTTAACTCCATTCTTAGCTACAAGACTTAAAATTATCTTCAGTTCTGCTAGCCTCTGTAGCACTTGCTCTAAGGAGGGAAGCAGATTTAGGTTTTCAGAGGCCAGGACCGAAGGGTCCAGTGAGCAGGCAGTCCTTTCCCTGGAGCGAGGTGTAGCCACTTTCCCCAAACCCAGCTTCCTGTCCAGGCCCTGGCTCCCTGGTGTTTCTCTCTTGTCATGCTTAGCTGGTCAGCCAGCTTTTTCCACTGTCTGCCCACCTGGCCTGTCGGATATTAGAAGATCTCTAGAGCCAGATGCTTGGGCCAAGAGTAAGGCCACAGTCTGGAGAGAGGCTGGGTGGGGCTCTGGTCAAGCAAGTAGGTCCAGCTGGGGGCAAGGGAGAGGCTCCACATGACTCCAAGTCCTGAATCCTAGGATGGTCCCCAGCTGCTGTTTCCAGGAAAGAGGCCCCACAATTTCTAAGTTGCCAAGAGCCGTAGGGCAGATGTCTTAACCTCTGTTTTTTTGGGTGGTTTCTTGGTTGGGTTGATGTTTCTGGATGTAAAAGGACAGGGTAGGTGTGATGACTATGGTTGATTCTCTTTTTACCTCCAGAGAGTGGGGAGAGGCTTCTAGTTGGGCCACTTTTTTTTTCCCTGAAAAGGCCTGAATCAGTAACACAGTCAATAGGTGCAGTGGTTTATACCTATAATTCCAACACTTTGGGAGACCAAGGTAGAAGGATCACTTGAGCCCAGGAGTTTGAGACCAGCCTGGGCAACATGGTGAGAACTTAGAGAGACAGGGTCTCGCAATCTCATGGGTAGCTTGTTCTCTAGGACCAATTGGCCTTCCTGGGGATGGGGCTGGGGGAAGGCTGAGACTGGCCTTTTACTTGAGGTCTGGGGAGATGCAAGATTGTTGGAATGAGCTTGGGAGCTTCGCTCACCCCACCCTGGGTGCCTGTTACCAGAAATTGAATGACCCTCTTATATGTTTCTTCCCACACAGAAACATGATGCTGACAATGACCCTCATCTTACGGATGAAACCAAGTGAGTGTCTCCTATTGGGGCAGCAGTCTCTAGGCCGAGGGAGTCAGGAAGGCCACTGCCCATGACCTTCTTTTCCATCAAGCCACCTGCACCCCTGACCCATGTCTCCACCCCTAGGACTTTCTCATCGACCAAGAGCCTGTGGTAACTCTACCAACAGCTCAATGATGTTGCCTCTGAGGTACCTCAGAAATTGAAGCCCAGAGTGGGGTGCAGGGGCAAGGAAAGTAGGATAGAAACCGAGGCAGGTTTTCACAAGAGAGGGCAGATCCTGGGAGATCAGCTGATTTGCTGCTGGGCAATGTTGAGGAAGTCGCCTCTTCCCTCAGCCTTCTCCCTTGAAGCTGTTCACATGAAGGAGTTGGACCACGTGACTGGTTGCATCATTTTTTGCTGCAGAAGCACCAGATGAGTGCTGCTCTGAAGGGAGGGATGGTGGGGAGATAAGAACCATGAGATATTTTGGTACAAAACAGTTGTGGAATGAAGGGTTCAAGATAGGCAGAAAAGAAAATGTTGCCAGTTGCTGGGGAAGAAAGGAAGTCAGAGGGCTTAGACACTGAGGGGGCAGAAGATCTCCATGTGCACCATCATCTCTTGTAGTCAGCAACAGGTATCCACGGGGAGGGCCCTGCATCATCTTGTTAAGAATAAAAAGTTCCTCTTCAAAGTTTCTGTTTTTAAAAACAATAAGTGTTAAGAATAATAGTTCCTTTTAAAAACTTCTTTAAAGTTTTCTTTTTATGCTATAAACTAATAAATCTTTTAGTTTACTAATGACTCTTTATTATGCCCTAGGTAGCTGTTAAATATAGTAGAGAAATAAGTGTATTCTATGTTTCTATGTCCTTATATTTTAAACAAAGCCTAAGCTGTTTATTCTAGTTTCTAGTCTGCCTAGATATGCTCGGACATGCCTAGGCATGTCCCAGCTCATAGCCTATGCCTTTTCCTTATTTGGAAATGTTATTATTATCCTAGTTTCCTGTAAGTAACCCCCTCCCTTTCTTTGTTCTCCATCGTGACATTACCTATTTAGGGAAGTTTTAAGATTTTAGCAAATCAGAATCAGTTTAGATTGTGAGTTCCAGCTCCAGGACACAGCAGTAGGGTCTTGATGCATCAGGGATAAAAACTCCTGCTTTCCTTTGTTTGGTGTGCTCTCATGGCAGTCTGGCTTGCAAACAGGATCCTTCTGCAGAAGTAAAATTGCCTTGCTGAGAAATCTTTTGTTTGTGTGTTCGTGTTCCTTGCGACTCCGAATTTTCATTTCTAACAATGTGCTATCCTGAAGAATCTGGAGGTAAGAGGGCCTGGGCCAAGGTGCAGTGACCCCCTGGGCCAGCCCTCAAACCTCCTCCCACAGTGGGGGTAGGGTGACCCTCTGCCTGCTGAGACAGCCCAACAGCTCCCACCCCTAATTATTGCCCTCTCTAACTCTCCCCGCAGTCCTGCAGCTCCTCCTCTCTGCATGAGTCTCAGAACCAATACCAAGAGGTAACTGTACCCTGAACTCCAGCTATCTAACAATCAACTCAATAGAATGATTGAGACATTCTTAAGAGTCCAGTAGGGCCCCCTGGTGCCACTCTGCCAATCCTGGGCTCCAATTTCCCCTTGGGGCCTTGAAGAAAGGGGCTAGGGGTGCCTGGTGCCAAGGGTATATGGGGAGCTGGGGGGCCCAGGTCTCAGCTGGAGGGACCCCATGGAGCATGCATCATGGCTCTTCTGTTGCTGCCCTCTTTGCCTACTGTCTCTTTTCCAGACACCCCTGCTCCAGTCCTTGCCACACACGCCTTGGGATTGTTGCCTCTCAGGGAAGTGCTAGTCTGACTGGTTGCCAGGAACTCCATATTTCTGCCCTGACTCAGTCCCTAATTTTCTCTTTGATTCTGGACAAGCCACCTCTCCTCCTTGGGCTTGTGTTTCCTGAGGAGGTAGAGAGTATCAGATGTCTCTGCTAGCTCTGAGAGTCCAAGATTTAAAGGTCCACTAGAATGTAAACCTCAAGGCCAAGGGATCCTGTCTGTCCTTTTTTGTCCTATATCCCTGCTATGAAGAATTGTACCTGGCCCGTGTGTGCTCAGTGTTGAGTGAATGCATTTTCTAAATCACAAACTGGCAGAATGTTGGGCTTTTCTCAGACTCCATCTATACATGTCACTGGTAGAAGGTCGTGACTACAAGTTGTCCAAGATCTTGGAATTTTGAACAAAGAATTGGATAAAATGCCCAGCAAAGCAAAGAAAGAATGAAGCAACAAAAGAACCAAAGCAGGGATTTATTGAAAACACAAGTACACTCCACAGTGTGGGAGTGGGCCTGAGGAGCCTCTCAAGGGCCTGGATACAGAATCTTCCTGGGTCCAAATACCCGCCAGAAGTTTCCCATCGGCCACTTCATGCTCATCTCATGTAACTGAAGTGGTAGCCGCAATCAGTCTGATTGGTTGCAGAAAGCATCCAACCAGAGGCTGAAGTGAAGTTACAGAAGTCACACTCCTGTGCAAACAATCTGATTGGTTGCAAAAAGCAACCAGCAACCAACCAGAGGCTAGGGTGAAGTTACAAAGTTATACTTCTTTGCAAATGAAGACTTGACCAGCAATCAGTTTTAACTTGTTGCAGACAGCCAGTTTCCCATCTGCCTCACAGAAAAGGTGAAAGGTAGTAGCCTCTGGTTCTTTCGTTACTCAGACATGGAAAGCTAGGGTTTTCTTTTCATTTTGGTTCTAGGAAGTCGGCGCGAAACAGTCTTAGGTTCCCTGCCTCCGGACCCTATTTTCCTGCCTCATAGAGATTTATGTTACTGTCGTTTTGGGAGAATCCAGATTCAGACTTTCAGTTCTGTGGCTGTGGGCCAAAACCAACAAAGACCCAAATCCTCTGTCCTTGGGAGCTTGAGGAGAGTTGACCAGTTCGTGGTCCCAGTGGGTCTGAGAACTTTGCCTTTAAAATCCACTCCTGGCCTCTACCTACCGCTTCATGGCCTGGGGAATAGAGTCGAAGGGGCCACCCTTGGTCACCTTCCTTTGACCCTCCCAAGGAAACAACACAACCAAGAAATTGTGGATCAACTGGAAGTAGTAACGTGATTTCTTTGCTCACAGCATGACCGCTGGGTTTGGGGAGCACTCAGATGTAGAGGCCCCAGTCTCGTCTTGCC